ACTGTTAACATGCCTAAGAATTGAATCTGAGGAAATGTGAAAAAACAGCATAACTTATAAAATAATGGTCCGATTATGCTGATTTTCGAACTTGACCTGCGTTTTAGTAAGATTGATTACTCCTGTGAGTTTCATGACAACAGGCCTATGGGTTTTCCTTGAAATGTGTTAACAGTTTTGCATATATGCTGAAAAGTGAAAAAACAGCATAACTTATAAAATAATGGTCCGATCATGCCGATTTTCGAACTTGACCTGTGTTTTAGTAAGATTGATTACTCCTGTGAGTTTCATGACAACAGGCCTATCAGTTTTCCTTGAAATGTGTTAACAGTGTTGCATATATGCTGAAAAGTAAAAAAAAACAGCATAAATTCTACAATAAAGGCCCGATCATGCTGATTTTTGAACTTGACCTGCGTTTTATGAATATTCATCAGCTCTGTAAATATAAAGCCAAAAAGTAAAACTGTCTTCCACTTATGGTGTTAACGCTGAAAGTGCACGGCGACATGATCGGCGACGGCGACGGCGACGACAGACGCAGGTGATGGCAATATGTACAGAAACATCTGTGTCTGTACATAAAAATGCTATTTTCCTCCCTCAGCATTTGTCTTCCATGTTTTAGTTGGATTATCTCTTGTTCTTGTCTTTCCAGTCTTTCAACCAGTTTCATCAATGCATCATCGCTGACTTCAACATGTTGTGCATTTGGTGCCATTGCTGTCGACATAACAACAGCAGTTACAATGAGAAACATGCTCTTCACCATGGTGCATGCCATTACAGTGATGTCTATGTAATGTATCACCCTATTATTCTAGGTCCCTGATGTTAAGTTTAAATATGATAAGTTGTTGTTTATATAAAGAGATCTTCAGTAGTTTGTTTGACACATTTTGATAAAAGTGAGAGCTTTAAACTGTGAACTTCCAAGGTGATCTTTTTAATGTATATCCCTAATCCAAACGTGTTGTACATAATAACACGTTGTACAATTACATAATTGTATTAAAATAAAGAAAGAAAGAGAAAAAATAACAAAAATTCTGCTCTTCAAAAGTTACTTTATTTACTATGCAGACACAAATCAACTAATCAAAAGCATTTTATTGTATTTGGTATCTTTAATTCAATTTTCATGAATAAGCCAAATACTTACAGACTAGATATATATTATATCATTAAAATTATTTTGCTTACTTAACTAATTTGCTGCTGAAAATCGAATAGGGATTGCCAATGGTAAAGCTGTCACTGAAGTAGTACTAGCCAAATAAAAATGGAACACATGTATCTTTTGATTAGTACATGTAAATTAGTTATATTGTAGGAAATAACACATTTAAGTTCATCAAAGGCTATTCCTTAGGTCATTTTATCAAAAATTAGCAAAAACAGGCCTTTTTTTCTCGTACTCCCAGATTATAATTATCTTCATTCAACATATATATTAACTGTTTAGTACTGACAGCACACCTTATGGTCATTTTTAATGTCAATATTATCTTGGACCTAAATACGAAAGGCCTTCTCTTATTATGTCCATGATATTATGAACCATATTTAATCTTCTTCACTATTTAGTACAGACAACACAGGGCAGTTCTCTTCCATCCACATATGGTGGACAGGTGAGAGTACCACATTTAGCTTCAGCAGTGTAAAACAGGGCGCCATTTGTGCTTTTATGACCACCAGCTACCACTTCTGGAGCTTCATCAAGGCAGACAAACTCTGTTCTCTGGTGATTATCATATTCTGATACCAGGTACCCATTGTACTCTGTTGTCCACCCAGCTGGACATGTCTTCTTGGCTGGTATCATCACATGACTGGGACGTGTTTGGGTGTAGCATACAGCACAGGGGGCATCATGGTTGAAAACATCCTGACCTCCTGTATTGGTTGTTGAAAATATATTAGTCCTGACATTCTGATATTCCACACCATGTATGTAAGAACCAGTACCTTGCCCTCCATCTTGGTATTTCCCCCACTCTGGTGTCTGTGGCAAACACAGGTAATTACTGCCTCCTCCAGTTTTGAGATACTCAGTTCCAGAAGCTATCCCTAAAGATAAAGTTATATTATTCAGACGTTTTCTATTTGGAAATGAAATAATTAAAACTGTAACCTTATATATTTAGTTGCTTACTTTTTTTATGCAGAAGAAGATCAAGTATAAAATCTGAAAAAATATAGTACAAGTACAATATACTGAATTATCCCCAGTAAAACCATGCATTATAACGTGTATTTTACCTTTGTACAAAAGTTTTGAATGTGTTGAACAAGATGTTCTGCCCCAACGTGTAAACACTGCACCACCATGGTTGCTGGTGGCCGGCAGACCTGAAAACATACATTAAACTCAGACCACCATATTGTGAACACTACCCTACTATGGCTGGTATTGCTCTTAGACCAGATTACATGAAAATGTACACTATCAAAATTGACATCAAACCCTTGTCCCACTCATCTGTCTCTTAACTAAAAAGAAAAACCTTCAATAAAATGGAAAAAATGAATCTGTAAATGAAGTCAGTGGACAAGAATACAGAACATATTTCCCAGATTAAAAAAAAAAAAAATTAACAAAACTAAAAGGAAGAGATTCATGTAGTCAAAGCACCAGACAAACCTGTAGGTGGCACTCCTATCTGAGCTCCAATTTGTCCCAGCATTTGTTTGAGGGTATCCAATGTTAGAGATCCTGGGTCCCCTTTAGGTCCAGGTGGTCCCTTAGAAATTGAATAAATATATTGAAATATATAGATATTTAACAAAGGAACATATATTATTACGTTTTTAATATAAAGCGATCCATTATCATGATATTTCAAAAAGTGGATGTCTTGTTTTATAAATTGAATTATACTCTAATTTTCAATCAAAATAAATATTAATTTTCAATCATAATTTTCAATTACAAAGCTATTGAATGTATAGTTATCATGCTAAGTTTCACCTGTATTCCATCTCTGCCATCTTTACCATCTCTCCCAGGTAATCCACGTGGTCCCTGAACACTGCTCCTGGAGGAGTTGACAACTAAAAAGTATAATAACGTGATAATAATTCAGATAGATTTCTTTTAATTGCATATCACTTTGTACAGTTACCTTACCATTCACAAGGCATCAGTCAGTCATCTCAACTTTGGGTCAAACGTAGCCCAGAGGTGACCTCACCCAAAATCAATATTTGTATAATATTAAGTAGTAGAGCTAAATTGAAATATGAATTAACATATGATTTTACATCTGATATTTTACTGTTACTACTAAGTGATCATTCTTCATAATTTTTGTAAAATAAAATGAGAATTTTATTGATTAGAAAGAAAATGCATCATTCGATAAGACCTTATGCTAAAGCAAAATGTTTTTTGCTTTAAACTATAACAAAGAAAATAAACCTACCATTACCTTGTAAAGCTGACTGATATCCAAGCAGTCCAATGATTTGCTTGAGGCTGTCTACTGTTAAACCTGGGTTCTGTGGATTATTTGAGATATTTTGTAATAAAAAACATTGAAGTGTCCACATTTTGTCATTTCCCACAATGAGAACAAAAAAATTAAAATTAAATCATATCTAAATCAAAAAAAAAAATTATATATGATATTCATTTGGTACTTTTTATTATTTTATCAGTTCCAACGTACGTGTGTCACATGCCCATGGCTTCATACTCTAGAAGCAATTGTCAAATGTTATATAATTATTATAATAATTATTACATATGATGCCATAAAACTTTATTCAAGAAAGAAAATTTACTCTAAAAGTCATGCAATTGTCATAAGTGAAGAGCAGAAAGTTACCTGAATGCCATCTTTTCCATCTCTGCCATCTTTTCCATCCTTGCCGTCCCTGCCATCTCTTCCTGGGGGTCCCTGGGGTCCTTGCAGACAGCCTGAACTTACCACTAAAATATAGGACACAGTGGTTTGAATTTGCTGGCTTTTAACAGGATACAGATGCTGCAAGTTGATGCTCAACCATAAAAAGTATGTTGTCAGAAATAATATTATCTAAAATCAATATATCCTCTTGATATATTTTATATTGTATAAAATGTTAGTTCAAGACTTCCAACAAATGATAGCTTACAATTTCCTTGCTGCACTTGTCGCTTGGTAATAAAATGGTTTAAATGGCGAAGGTTTGTTGCATTTCTTTCAGGGACAGTGGCAGTTTGTGCATCAAGCTTCAACTTTATTTTCTGAATATCTGACTAATTTAAAAGATTTGATTAGTCTTTTTACTATTGATACGTCATTTTCAGTATTTGGAAATTGTTGAACATAGCTATAGGTTGTTAAAGATGTTAATTTTTATAATTGATAATAGTTAAGATATACCAATTTGTGGGAAATTCACAATGTTGGGATTGGGCAGAATTTCAAGTACAAAATACCTTAAGATGTTTGTTTTCCTGCCTCACTGCAGCAACCTCAGCTTTCAGTTTTTTCATCTCTTGTTCCTGCTTGTCCAGTCTTTCAACTAGTTTTATCAACACGGCATTACTAGCACTGTCATGATGATGTTGTAAACTTGATGCAGTGACAGTAGTAACAAATAGGGCAGCGAACACATGAAAATACATGATGTACACCAGTCCGTGGCATCCAAGATGCTGACCTGGGTGAGGCAACGAAAACTCTTATATTGCTAAAGCCATGATTTATCAAGTAGACATGCCAAATGGGTCATAGAAAGTTGGTTTTCTACAAATATTTGCCTAGCGATAGTTTAAGGGAAGCAGCTAATATTTCTTCTATAAATCATGTGTTATGTTTGTCAACCAGTCACAAATTCAATCAGTAACCTCTCACTCCTCAGTTTTCCTCAACTACAATCGTAAGCTTCAGTGGTCACCACCAGGGACTCTTTTGGCATTTAGCAGTTACCTATTCATTTATATGTTTGAGTTCATTAGTAACTTAAATTTCCCAGGAACATAACAAAGATGTGATGTGTCTTTAAACACTTAACACTACATCTCACTGTCTTATAAAATTTATAATGTATGTGCATATGTTAACTATGTTATGATAATTTTTTTCCTGTCTTTCATGAGCTGCTTTTTAGTTATTTGTCTAACTAGTTGATCTTTTCCATTGTATGTCATACAGTTTAACTATTTGTTTCAGTTCTTTAACTCTTTGCAATATTTATATCTTCATTATTTTCTGTATGACTACCATTTTTTCATAATGAGTAGGGTAATATTGTATTTCAACAAAAATATTAATAGTATGAACATCCTATAGCTGCGATAATTCTTTCTTAAATTAACTCCACTGTATTGATGCTCCTGAAGTTTTTTTTTCTACCAATTCCAAGACCTTTATCTTTGAGGTCTGCTCTCATTTAACTGAGCAGTCTGGTGCAATGCTGCCCCGCTTTGGTTTTGAATTTGTTACATCCCACTGATTTTACTGGCCTCTGATGTACCCTGTACTTGGCCAAACACAGACCACTTAAATTGAATCAGCTTTACAGAATATTAAAACTTGACACATTTAAAGAAAATACATTTTGTGTCCTTGCAGATGGAAATACAAGTTATTTGTCACCCCTAGTCGCCTGGTGATGCTGACAGGAGCAGCACTGGCAGGCACATGTGGCTTTATAGCTGGAATAGTGGGTTTACTACAGTGGAGAGAGAAGGTAATGGGTCAGAATTCTTATTTATTTTATTTCATTCATTCTCATTATCAATATTCTGCTTATTTCTGTTCATTTATTTATTTATTACTTATTTATTATTATTGATATGACTGTTCTCTTTTTCATGCATTAAGGATTATCATTTGCATTTATTGCTTTCAAGAGCTCACTTGTTGCAAATAACATAGGCAACAAAAGAAGGCAATCACAGTTTACAGGTTGATTGAAATTTGGCATAGTTTTAATTAAAATGCTGCTTTGATTAATGACAAACCCAAATGAGATTATCTTTGAATTCAAGTCTTGAGTTGTGTTTTTATTTGTAATGATAAAGCATACTTTTTCTTTGGTTAAAAGGTAGTTTTTTTTCTAAAGACCATAAGAATTTTTTTGCATGAGGCATTTAGTCTCCTTAGAAATGACATATTTTTACATCATTTTTACAGATCTAGTTCGCCACAATATTTTCATTATGAAAATTATCATTTCTTTTCAGAGAGAAGATCAGAAAGAAAAAAGACAAGAATCTCACAAATTTCATTTTGATGCCATGTAGCATGCAGAACACCCTTGCCTATGGCTCCTGGTGCTTAGGAACACTGGATATCCAGTTTCACTTTCATTTTAATGCAGTGACTGTAATGTACAGGACATGTAGTTCTATGTGACTATGAAAACTTCTCTTTCATTTTCATAACATGCCTGCAGTGTAAGGAAATTGATTTTCACTTTAGTGCTCTGTGCTACTTAGGCATCTACTGTCAGAAACTAAAAACTAACCAATAATTTAAAAGCTGCATATTACTGGTATTTGATGTGTCTGGTGTGATTAGTAAAATTAATCTTTATGAAAGTGCAGTTTTCTAGTGGCCAAAAGTTGCAGAACTTTTTGTTTCTTTTGTCTTGTTTATTTATTTATTTATTTATTTATTTATTTTTGTAGTGTCACATCCATGCTTAGAAAGAAACCAAAGGGAGCACTTTGAGTGACAAATTGGATCAACCTGTAAGGTTGTGACATACAAAACTGGAACTACCAATATCACGCCATGCTATTTAAAAAGCAGGGTTCAGACAAAAAGGGCAAAAACAACAAATAGCTTTTTTCCTTACTTATTTCATATGGAAAATACATGACAGTCACAGGGGCGGGTTGAGGCCATCTTCTGGGTCTTCCGGAAGATGGTCAGATATTCAAGTTTACATTGACGGGTACCTAATTTTTTCTGTCGGAAGAGGGTCAAAAATGGAGGATGGGTCACCAAAGATAATTTGGAAGACTGTCAGAAAATAGCTCTGGATCCGCCCCTGCTGTTATTATTTTGTACAATACCACTAGGAATGTGTGTGTGACTGAGTTCCTGTATACATGTTTGTGTGTGTGCATATAATCATGGTAGAATGGAAAATTCTTTTGACAATCTTATTTCTTCTGATAATGTTATTTATTATTGTTGAAATATTTTTGGTATAATACTGAAAACTTATTTATTCTGTTGTTTAGATTTTATGCAATGATATGAAGAAAAAAAACTGAATTTTTTTACAGATTTGAATTCAAGTGGGAAAGGAATAGTTAACAGGGATGTTTTCAACATTTGAGACCTAGATTTATAAGCTAGATCAGTTTATTTATATAGAGTGATAATATTTGTTTCAGAAATTTAAACTGTATGTTTTTTTTTTTCAGCTCAGTATTATTTTTTATTTGTCTGCATTACTTAAAAAGAATGTTACCTATAAAAACATTTGATAGATGCTTAGCTTAGTTTTATATTATATCAGTTGAAAACATGGCTGTATGGACTTTTTAATATTTAACTTTATTAATTTAGTCTTTTCAATTGGACGTTGGTAAAAAAACTTGTCATATTTAATTATTTGAATGTTTTCTCTTTTGCCTTTTGAAGTAAATGCATTTAGTGCTCTTTAAGTTGAATATTAATGCTACTTGTATCTCTAACATTTAATTTAGTGACTTTAAAGAAGTCAGCCTAAAGGTATTTTCTTCATAAATTACAAATAATCAGTGATAAGTGTTAGTTAATTTGACATATTAAAGAAAAGATCAGATGTACATGTAACCTTTTTCTTTTTACACTAAATTTATTTTATTTTATTGTCGATTGAACAATAAACAAAAGGATAAACCATGTTAGTTGTTATACAGGCATTCATTGTCAGAGGTAAAGGATAATATTACTGTCATTTGTTGAAACAATTTGCCGTATTAACTCATCTGCTGTTAAAATCAATTTAAGTTTATAGATATCTATTATTGTGAAGTACTGGATATAAGTCACATATTAAACGGAAAAGTATATTTTAATAATTACTTATCAACATATTTCTTGGAAATACCACTTTAAATTTAACATGGGCAGTTTGTATGGTCACTTAAAAAGTTTTTGAAGAACCAACTCAACTCGGTCTATATGTTATGGTCACTATTTAGAGCAGACAACACATGCTAGTTCTCTTCCATCCACATATGGTGGACAGGGGAGGGTACCACATTTAACCTCAGCAGTGTAGAACAAGGCCCCATTTTTGCCCTCATGGCCTCCAGCTACCACCTCAGGAGCTTCATCAAGACAGACAAACTCTGTTCTGTGGTGGACATCAAGATCTGATATCAGGTATCCATTGTACTCTGTTGTCCACCCAGCTGGACATGTCTTCTTGGCTGGTATCATCACATGACTGGGGCGTGTTTGGGTGTAGCATACAGCACAGGGGGCATCATGTTGTTGAAAATTTTGAACTCCTGTATGGGTTGTTGAAAATATGTTTGAGTAAATCCTTTCATATTCCACACCATGTATGTAAGAACCAGTACCTTGCCCTCCATCTTGGTATTTCCCCCACTCTGGTGTCTGCGGCAAACACAGGTAATTACTGCCTCCTCCAGTTTGACTGTAGTAGGTTCCAGCAGATATCCCTGATATAAAAAGTTATAAATTCCATTTTATAGATTTTAATATATATATATATATATATATATATATATATATATATATAATGATATCATTGTCGTTATCAGTGTTATTATAATATGGCTGAATGGTTTAATAGAACCATACTTAAGAAAGATGTACTTTTGGCTCGATCTTTACCTTTGTACAAAAGTTTTGAATGTGTTGAACAACTAGTTCTGCCCCATCGTGTGTATACTGCCCCACCATGGCTAATATTGGCTGGTAGACCTGAAAACATACATTTAACCTAGAGAACCATATTGTACTGGTATACACTGCCTCACAATGGCTGATATTGCTCATAAACAATGAAAATGTACCATGAAAATGTACACTATCAAAACAGACATCTTAATGATCAATTTAATGTTGCATAATCTTTATCCAGTTGATAAGTAGAGCTGTCTCATAACTAAAAAAGTAAAACCTTCAAAAATGGATAAAAACTGAAGACACTAATGAAGTCGTATCAATGCAGTAAAATTGTAGAATGTATTCCCAAACTAAAAGGAAGAGATTCATGTAGTCAAAGCACCAGACAAACCTGTAGGTGGCACT